AAGACTATTGTATCGTTAAAAATTATTTTTTTATTTTGTACAAACAAAATAAATATATTGAAAAATATAAAAACAATAAAAAATTATACTTCAGAAGTTAATTTAGTATCAAAAACGTAAAATATTGGAGTAACCCAAGACCTAGCCAAAGATTGAAGCGCCACAGCATTGGCGAAAATTTAAATTTGCCGACTGGAATTCTTTCGGATGATTGACTTTCGGATAATCGACGCTCTACTGTATTTTGTTTTAACTTTTGACTAAGGCTTTTTCTCTTTGCAAATCATAAACTACATCAGTATAATAAGTTCTATTTATAAGCAAGGTCTAATTAGTTAATTTAATTTTCACGTAAGATCATTAACATATAAACTATGTTTAATGAAAACAATAAAAAGTATTCAATTATTTTTTATTGTTTTTAATCATTTAAATTTTATTGTTAATTTAAGAATTTTTTGGAAGACAAATAATTTAATGAACTTTTCTGAAGCATTCTTTCTTATATTTTGCATATTCTACTCACACATTTTTTTTAATAGTGAGACATACAACATTCTTAAGAATTACATTGTTTAAATTATTTTCGTGCGAGTTTTTATCATTAATGGAGTTTACCATGGACTTTTCAAGAGAACATTTTACTATTTTATTGAAAATGCTAGGCTTCTTAGCATTTAATTCGAACTCTTCGATGATTAATGTAAGTATCAAAGAGGTAAAGTACACCTGCACTTAAAGTGAGAAGAAAGTTTTCATTGTACTTCATGTAACTATTATAATTTCAGATATTAATATTGATTTCCTTTGCATTTTTGAACGTATCGACGTTGCCGATGATTAAAATTATGAACTTGTCCCATGCAGAATGGTTCGAATTTATCCATTTTCTGCTGTTTAACATATTTCTTGTGTATCTTCTTTTGATTTGTGAAATGATGAAATTGTTGAGGTAACAATTACTTCTTTAAGTACTTTTCGGTTAATGGGACTCCAGCCGATATGTACAGTGACTGGTAAGATTCCAGCTCTGAATGAGGGATTTCGCATCACCCCACGCCTCCACAGGCCAGTTTTTAACACGTATCAGTTTACCGCCTATTCTACATGTTTCGTATGTAGACGTGCGCCTTTGTACTCCTATCACTCGCACCTTAGAGCCCGGGTGGGGCGAGCCCTCACACCCCCTAAAACTATATAACATCAAGTACTCCACAAACAGTCAAGTGGGCTAAATTGTTAAACGCGATTGTCTATCGCGATAATCTTCTGGTGTCCCGTTAACCGAAAACATCCCCTCTTTACACATAGAATTTACTACAGAATAATTGCAATCGTTTAACGTAATTGTTCACTCTTTCAGAATGATTGTTACCGGTACCGGTTGTGGTAGGTGGTACCACCCTAGCAACGTGATGTTGGCCGTCATCCAAACAACGTTCTTTTATATTTCTTCCCCTTGGATATACAAAATGCTGTGGGAAATTTTAAACTACTACGACAATTTTCAACTAGTGGACGACTTTTATTGACAGACACTGCACGAAAAATTTCACAAAATTATCAATAATAGACGTAATTATAATTTTTAATTTATTGTTTTAAACATAAACTTTATCAATCTTTTATTAAAGCTATTTTTAAAAATTTCTTATTGTTAAGCGTGTTACATTGTATTAAGATTAACAAATGACATTTTATTGTAAGCAATAAATTCACTGTTTTATTGTTCTAATATCAGAATAATTCAATTTTTCTAAATTTAAGAGATGCATTCTTATAAGGCATCGATATTAATAAAGTGAAGAAAATCAATTTTAATTGTTTATTCTTCTGTTTTTTTTTAATTAATTGAATTAATATTTACTATTTGTCGTGAAAAACAATACTGTATTGTGATTTCGACCGTGTTGATCACCGAAGAAGAAATAAATACAAGTATATGTGTCAAGAGGATGGAGAAACTATTTATTTATTTTTTAATAACATAAAAGTTATTTTTTAATTAAAATCTCATAAATGCCCGGAAAGATACGAAACTCATTGCTAGATTTTTTTCTTTTTCAGCAACTAATGCAGCTTATTCAATTTTATGTATCTAAACACTCCAGAGTAGTTCAAACATTGCAGTTCACAAAGAAAAAAAAATCTTAATTTTCATATGTCCAGAAACGTTTTCAACTTATTTTAAAGTCCGAAATCACATCAAAACTATTGTATATTCTATTTTAGAATGTAACCATTCCGTAACCTATTTTACAAATTCCAAAACTGAAGGTTGGGAAATTTTAAAGGTGCGTTTTTAATAAATTTATAAGTAAAGGATTGAAGAAATTAAAAATTTTGTCAACCCTTTTGACGACAACCTTCAGAAAACCTTCAGAGTTAACGCAGCGGCACGTTATCCCTACGGACAAAAAAAGGAAAATTTCCAAGGGCTCTGAACCAATCTTTTAAAAGAAAGTATTTTTCCCAAAAAATTCCTCTGAAGAAAAATGTTTGAAATAAACTCTGTACATAAGGCCTCTAATTCAAAATCGCCTGGGCCCCATGTAGCTATAACGCGCCACTGAGATACAATAGCTAAAAGGAATTATATACTAATGTATTGATTTTAACATTGGTCAAAATCTAAAATTTCGGTCATCCTCAAAGCACGAAAGTGTTTAAAACATATGTTTAAATGTTTTTAAAAATTAAAATATGTTTGCGATTTTATTATGGTGCCATTTCGGCAACTTAATAGGAGCATATTATTCCTAGTTTGTAATATGTCTGTAGCAGATTATGTACAAATTTATTACATACAATATATCCGTGCTTTGACATATTCTATATTCGAATTAATGAAATCAACATTCGAAAGTGCTCAAAACGCTACAGTAGTTCACTGGAGAGTCGGTTAGCCATCAAACAGAGCATGGTATTTCAGGAACATGCGTAGAACATGGTAATGGAAGTTTCAAACCCCTAAAACATCATCTGTGATTTCTGGTTCACAGAAACCTTTCGATAAACGAGCAAACAGTCGCGTATTAAGAAACTTGTGGGTAAGGGACGAGGAAAAAGTTGAGATACTTGCTAGCTTGCCCACCCTCTGGAGAGATAGCTGGGCGTTAGCTGCAATGTTTTCGTCCCGTGATTTCGTTTTTTGTGACTGGAAAATCCACGACTGTTTGACGTTAGTGGCGCGTCGTTACGGGATTATATCGCCCGGGGAAGGTCAGGTGGGAGTGTGAGTGGTTAATTTGATGATTATTCTTAGATAATAGCTAGTTTATGGCACGAATTTCAAAGTAATACGAAAATTGTAAGTATGGTTTCAAAGGAAATTTTGTATGTTTATTTAATTAACCAAAAAATAGAACTACATATAAAATTTAATTCTTATTTTTCAATCTTCAAAAGTAAGGATTAACGTCGAAGTAAATATATTCAGCGTCATCTTCGAACTCCATATTTTCATCTTTATAACGTTCTCTGATGATCCATTGCAGTGGTCTGTAACGATTTGCCTGAGGATTAATTCTTATTTGATTTTCAGGAATGATATCGTCTTTGGAAATTCTAGCAATCATTCTACAAAAAGTAAACTTCGTTGCGACTATAGGAAAAGACAAATGAACAAATCCCTGTCTAGTACACGTAAGTATTAATTTGGAGGTCACCCATTTATCCAAATTGTAAGAATAACGTAATTTTACATTCACTGTATTTTTACTATTATGAGTGACAGGGAGATAAAAACTTCTGATATAACAACTTTCCTTGACCGCTATTTCACAGACGAATCGAATATTATCACTGACGTTCTTTCTTTCTTCAACGACCTCCGTGTCTCTGTTGCAATACGAAAACCACATTGAAGGCTGATCTTCGCTTCTAGGACACTCGATCGTACAAATATTCTGTGGAAGGAACCACGTTTCGTTCGTTTGAAAATAGCATCTTATCGCATCTTTCTCTAAATCCGTTAAGATTGGCTCGTTGAATACCATACATTCTAATAATTCTGGTGGCATTGTTAAAAATCTAAGCTTCGGGATGAAGGATTTCATGACTTCTCGAAGAGACTTGTTCCGAGTAACTCTTTTTTTGGCCCACTGTAAAACGACATTGAAGATATCTATCTCGTTTACACGTCTATATATCGGTCTTGAAACGAGTCTGTAGATAGTAATTCCACTGCAATCTAGCCATTTTTCTGAATTAAATATTCGATGCCAATCAGAATCGAACTTTTTCCAACAAATAAATAATAACTTAACGTCTTTGTTTTGATCAGCAAAATCATACACGTGACAGACGTCTTCACTCGTCAATTGCTTAATCACGTACTTTCGGCATTCTGTACTTAAACGATTTATAAGTAATCTTGTAGTTACGAAGAGTAAGTTTATTGCATTTGTCGTAGATGTGATATTTATACGTCCTTCCTCTAAGTATCTGTAACAATACGCGGTAATAAATAATTAATTACGCTTACAAACTTTACAGAAGCAATGTAAGAGATTTACAGCGTGTTTATTCAAAATATTTACGACTTACTCGTGTATTTGCTGCAAAATGTCTATAGAATATGGTAAGTAAAACGACATTACTTGTACATTTGAGTGACGACGAAGCATGGCTGATATTCTCGCACTTTCTTTAGAAAGTATGGATCGTGAAAACATTATTTCTTGTTTGTCCTTGCAAATGACTCTAACGAAATCCATTTTTATATGTTTATTACGAATTCTTAAAAATTTTTATAAGAAGAGAGAATTGAATTAAAAGCAATAATGGACTCGTTTCACAGTATTGTTATGTTATTAATATATTAGTCGTTAAATTAATTGTTTATGTGAGAGTAATTGTTAATGCTAAGTATTACATTAATAAATAAAACGAGTGAGTCGGTCATTTCTAATTTAATCGCACCAGAACTATTTTTGTCGGTTTAAACATTAAAAGTCTTCTTTATGGTAGTTTATAGTACAATTTACTTACTTGGGAATTTAAATTTTAACTTCGCTAACTTTTTCATTTCATTTATTAAATAAAGGAATAAACTTTGCCATATTGTAGTATCAGTTATAGATTTGGATATTAATGTGAAAAATTCTAATCTCGATTTTCATAAAATGTTTTTCAGTCGGTCATAATATATTGTAGTTAATTCTGGTTATCTTTCGGCTGGATAATTAGAGGAAATTACACGTTTTATTGCACGGAAAATCGATTAGTATTTTATTATGCTGTCAAAACTGAACTGAGTTACAGATATAAAAATTACAGTACTCAAGGAAAACAGATTCTATACTGTGAGAATACGATTCAGGTGACTGTGTGTCGGAAACTGATCCTCTCTATACAGTCGTTTATCTTGGTTATTTAAGCCTTTCACATTAAACAGCGAGTTATGCATTTCTTTTATATTTTTAGGTATTTAATTTATAAATGTTACATTAGTCATAATACTGAACATGCTATTTCACACGGAATAATAGTAAATTATTATCTTGGCTACAAGTCTGTATAATTCACTCTTAATTAGATTTTACGCACATTGATTTACCTAACATAGTTGGTCCCCACAAACATTATCTGTAAATAAGATATTACATTAATACCTATGATATGGGCTTTTTATATGACGGGAAAAAGCATCAAACTGCTATATCTTCCAGAACCGAAGAGCAAACTCTTTCACGGAAGAATTAAGTGTTTTTTGTGTGTGCCGATGGAACCAGAACAGTAAGTGTTGATAAAGCAGTGAGAACATAAAGTATAGTACAGTACAGGGCTAGGCTGCTCAAACTCTTCATATGTGTGAGCACCGAAATAATTATACGGTAGAGCGTCGGTTATCCGAAAGAATTCCAGTCGGCAAATTTAAATTTTCGCTAGTGCTGTGGCGCTGCAATCTTTGGCTGTGTCTTGGGCTACTCAAATATTTTACGTTTTTGACACTAAATTAAGTTCTGAAGTATAATTTTTTTATTGTTTTTATATTTTTCAATATATTTATTTTGTACAAAATAAAGAAATAATTTTTAACGATACAATAGTCACGATTATTATTTTAAAAAGTTTACGTTAGGCTTAACATCGACGAAAATTCAACGCAAAGCGACACGCAACGGAGAAAAATTTCAGGATGGGATAGGTTAATATATTTTCTCGTACATAATCGGTTATCCGAAAAATAAGTTATCCGAACAACCCCAGTCCCCAATTGATTCGGATAAACGACGCTCTACTGTATTTAGTATGTGTAACTAACTGAACGATAGGTTGAGCAGACCCGGTATATTATATTCTTGCATCACGAATGCGAAACACAATTGCAGCAATTATATTTGAAAATTGCTTCTTCTTCATTTCAATATGAACTACTGTAGATTCAAGACTTGGCAAACAGCAATTAATAGAGAACATTTACTGAAGATATTAGGAAGTGAAGTTCACTTCCTAATATCACTAACTTCACTTCCTAATATGCGTGTTTGCTCCCAGAATTTTTGTGAAAACGATTACACGAATCCTAATTCCAGAAGACTGTTGCATAATGTTATACTAACAATTTAGCAAGATAAGAATATGGGTATTCTGAACATTTTTCTGCAATTGTCCGGTATCTACTGTAGATACAAGATTTGAAGATATCGTGACGCCTATGGATAATGATGGTGACTTACATTCTGATGGTGACAAAGAGCAAGAAAGAGAAAAGGAATGTATTGCTGTAGATAATTGTTTATTAGATACTCTTTTTATGATTTTTATTCAAACGTAACCATATGCAGTTACTATAATATAAATATATTACTGAATAATTATTAAATATTTTTCTGTAATATAAATATTTATTTCTTCAGGACAATGTCAAGCATCCCATGAGTGAGAAAATTGACATCATCTACACTATCCAACATGCCAATATCAAAAACTAAAAGAAGAATCTCAAAAAGATAAATAACTTGAAAAGGACAAAGAGCTGCTGCTGAAGGCTGAATATCCGCACGTTTACTTTCTTGGTTAAAGCAAAGGAAAGATTGTGTCCAAAGATAAATAATGTCATGTCAACAATAAGTCAAGTTTTGAATGGGAATGCACTTAAGTATCATGTTACACAATTACGGCTTGCCACAGTTAAGAATATAGAAAATTGCTGAACTGAGCTTTGAATTCTTTTTCTTCATAATAAAGAAGATTTCAACAGGTATTCCGGATGTACTTTACACAGTTTGAAAACTCCCTTAGATATTCAGTGTTCAATGACTTGACTAAAATAACTGTGAGCGGAAATTCTAAAAATGATAAATCAGAACTCTTGACACTCCTTAATTGATGGTAAAAATAGAAAATGTACTAGTACTTTCATTTCACCCTCTAATTGTAAAAAAAATATTAGTGGACACTATCTCACTAAATGCAGAAGATATTGAGGACTCATTAAGAGAAGAAGCAAACGTACAGCATTATCTGACTAGTTATAGTTTATTATAAAAAAAGTTTCTGGAAAAATATCTGTTCTCAGTGATAACTTCAAAAACAAATAATCCTAATGTAAACGAATTGCCACACAAAATTCTCACTTATTGCGAAGCAATATATTCACTAGATTCTTTGTTCGGTGGACTGACAATGCCAGCTTTCAAATTGGTTCAAGATATGAAAATCTTGAACCAATTTGAAAATCTCTTTCACACTGCTGATTTGTGTAAAGGAGTTATTAGTCAGCAGTTTCTCCGCAAAATTTGCACACTAAAAATCTTTGTTTTATTCTGAAAACTTCTCTCATGTCTTTGTAAACTACAAAGTAAAAGTCCTGGGGAGGATTCGATAGGTTAATGAGGAATTGAAATAAACTGAAAAATATATTTTTCACTGGTTTCGTTTACGCATAAAATTTGTTTTTCCCATAATTTCTAGATATAATCATACTTTAGACTTTTTTATGTTATTATATATATTTATTCACACTTTAAAAAAATACATTTAATATTTTAAATTTACATTTGGTCTTAAACTTTTGACCAGACAAATTAAATTAATGATAATACTGTATAGAAATGCGAGTATATAATTTGTATATGCAGAAATAATTAAATTAATGTATTGTTTGTTTTAAATTGCTTTATTTTATTTAACAGATTTAGTTTCTTTTATTATAGATTAATTATTTTAAATTTTATTGTAAGTTAGATCCTAAACTTTTGGACACAATTATATACATTTTTCTGCAGGGTTTGCATTCTTACATTTCTGTCATATGTGATTATATACAGTACGTACTGTGCTGCGGCATTTTTAAATCAGAAATACAATGTGGTCCTTTGACGTGTTTGATTTTGCTATCATTATTACGGATTACGGAGTGGGGCACACGTAAAATAAAACAAATTTACTGTTTTGTCTACTATAAACAATAAAACTGAAAGGATACAATACACAAAATAAAATACTTTTTGAAATAAAAGAAATACCTATAGGTTGGTATTTTATTCTGAAGTTTTTAGTGGAATACTTATCATTAACAATTACTTTCACGTAAACAATGAATAGTATGTCAGTAACAAGCCAATTCTGAGAAGCGAGTCCATTATTGCCTTTAATTCAATTGTCTCTTCTTATAAAAAGATTTAAGAATTCGTAATAAACGTATAAGAATGGATTTCGTCAGAGTTATTTGCAAGGACAAACAAGAAATAATGTTTTCACGATCCATACTTTCTAAAGAAAGTGCGAGAATATCAGCCATGCTTCGTCGTCACTCAAATGTACAAGTAATGTCGTTTTACTTACCATATTCTACAGACATTTTGCAGCAAATACACGAGTAAGTCGTAAATATTTTGCATAAACACGCTGTAAATCTCGTATATTGCTTCTGTAACGTATTTAAGCGTAATTATTTACTACCGCGTATTGTTACAGATACTTAGAGGAAGGACGTACAAATATCACGTCTACGACAAATGCAATAAACTTACTCTTCGTAACTACAAGATTACTTATAAATCGTTTAAGTACAGAATGCCGAAAGTACGTGATTAAGCAATTGACGAGTGAAGACGTCTGTCACGTGTATGATTTTGCTGATCAAAACAAAGACGTTAAGTTACTATTTATTTGTTGGAAGAAGTTCGATTCTGATTGGCATCGAATATTTAATTCAGAAAAATGGCTAGATTGCAGTGGAATTACTATCTACAGACTCGTTTCAAGACCGATATATAGACGTGTAAACGAGATAGATATCTTCAATGTCGTTTTACAGTGGGCCAAAAAAAGAGTTACTCGGAACAAGTCTCTTCGAGAAGTCATGAGATCCTTCATCCCGAAGCTTAGATTTTTAATAATGCCACCAGAATCATTAGAATGTATGGTATTCAACGAGCCAATCTTAACGGATTTAGAGAAAGATGCGATAAGATGCTATTTTCAAACGAACGAAACGTGGTTCCTTCCACAGAATATTTGTACGATCGAGTGTCCTAGAAGCGAAGATCAGCCTTCAATGTGGTTTTCGTATTGCAAACAGAGGCACCGAAGTCGTTGAAGAAAGAAAGAACGTCAGAGATAATATTCGATTCGTCTGTGAAATAGCGGTCAAGGAAAGTTGTTATATCAGAAGTTTTTATCTCCCTGTCACTCATAATAGTAAAAATACAGTGAATGTACAATTACGTTATTCTTACAATTTGGATAAATGGGTGACCTCCAAATTAATACTTACGTGTACTAGACAGGGATTTGTTCATTTGTCTTTTCCTATAGTCGCAACGAAGTTTACTTTTTGTAGAATGATTGCTAGAATTTCCAAAGACGATATCATTCCTGAA